AAATGATAATTCCTCTTTTAACAGTGCTGCTGCAAACACGTTGCGACGGGCTGGTGTCCTGTGTGCGAGAGACATCTTACCAGGTGATTCAGTGTAGTGCCACAACCTTGTTAAACGCATTTTCACAGAAAGTTTTTTACCTTTGAATGAATATTCACAGGTAAAAATAAAAAAGTTAATAATCACAAGTCATCCTTTCACTGCATATTAAATTCTAAATTCTACGGTAAAACAGAAATCCTAATTTTGGCATTGGTACCCTACTACTTGCCTTAAAAAAGCAGTTCTGCAGTACAAGATACTAGGCCGATGTTTTCAGGTAACCAGTGCAGACAGGACTAGGTGAGAATTTATCTGCCACAGAACACTGCCCAGCTAGTAGATTCCCGTACTTTGTGAAGATAATTCAAGTGTATATTGAAATCTGGTTGTACTAATTGACAGAGCAAATTACTTTTGGAACCATATTTCCAAAGGGCCCCTGAATTTATTCCTTCAATTTTACATGCATGGGCTTCCATACCTTTGTGAATTTAACATTTGTGTACATCACTCTGACATTTCCTAGCATTTCAAGAACAATTTCAAAGACTATTTTTGCACGTGTAGTATTAGGACATTTTAGTGGAAGAGCTTTTAGAAAATTTATTTTACATTTTGCACATTTAGCAATCTTGGAATATTCATCCTACTTTTGAGTACTTTAATCAAAATTTTAACATGAAATTTTCTTAGAAGGGAGGCTGAATTCCAGACATAAAACTGGGGAAAAAAAAAAAAAATCTGCCTCATTTTCTATGCTTAGTTTCCATTCTTTTGAGGAGGGGAAACCTGAAAAGCTTTTGCCTGTAAATCTAAATATCACCAAGCTCTTCAGTAAAATCTGCCTGATATGCCAGGTTCTGAAATCTCAGTACCCAAAAAGAATGCAGACAATTGATTAATAATGAGGTCAGAAATACAAATAAATTTGCTTCTAATGAAGACGGGAGACACAGTAATCAAAGTGTTAAAAATTCATTTCATGCACATCTCATTTGCCTCTTAGCTGATATTTATCACATAATTCTGTGAGAAAGTAGAGGCCTAAGATGCTCCAGATAAATGTCTCAATTAATTGTACAGAGGTAGCCCTCTTTGAGCTGAACCAGAGCTGTGAGCTCTTTATTAAAAGCACTATTCTGTAGCCTGTAACCTTGTTCCTTGACTCCTCTCTAGTTTCCAATTTAAACAAGTCCCCATGCGGCCCGCTCTAAAGGGCTTTGTCTCCCTGTCATTGTTAAGAGAGCCGAGGCATCCTGGAAGTGTGAAATCAGACCTCATGAGCTGAACGGTTCCCCAGGGAACGCCGGACCGCGCAGAAGGTCAAAGTCATGGGCTGGACCATCTGAAAGCGTCTGATCACCGGTCTGTGACACAGCAAGCTGGGTGGGGGCAGGGGGAGAGGGGAGCCAGGGGGCTAGAATGGAACACGTCTTAATTAAAGCCCCAAGACAGCAAAACAAACTGTTTTCCAGGCAGGCCGTCACATGGAGCTTGGATTTTGCTCTGCTAATGAATCTGGGTTGCTAACTATTATTCCTTAAAATAATAGGACTTTTTCTGAAAGTTGATCAAACCTGTGGCACATCTTTTCCCACCCTGCTTGCTTCTCATCAACAGGAAGGCACAGGGTTTGAATTTTATTCCGTGCTACAAGGAAAAGGAGGAAGGCATCTGTCCCAGTAAAGGAGACTCAAGGGCTGCCTGCGAAGCCAGCAGCCTTCTGCCGTGACCCACCTACTCCTAACTCTACTGCAGAAGAAAAAAGCTCCCCTGACGACTGCCTACGCTGTCATTATGCCATGGCGAAGGATCTATCGCCCTGTAAAACTCACACGCGTTAGGCGTATTAATACGTATTCGTTTCACAGGCAAACTGACACGACGAGTCCATTACACCTTACATCTTCCTGCACCGCTAGAATATTCCTTCATGCAAAAGGACATCACTGTGGGTGCACACGCTGCCATGCCAGGGCTCCGCAAGAAGCTGAACCTCCAGAACGTCAGCCAGTCTTCCAGGGGAACCATGGGTGAGCAAAGATGTGGTGAAAGAGGAAAATACAACTTTTTAGCTGAGGATTTAGGGAAAAAACAGCCTTGCAAGGCATAGCTAAACCACAATGGGAGATTTAAATGAAACTTCTCAGGAAGAGAAGGAAAAAGTAAACATCTTCTCATCTGCTAGATTATGATTGCAAAAAAAGCATAGTAAGAGAGACATGCTTTCCAGGAAGGAGAATTTGCTGTGACTTCAATTTCCAACAGAATAGAATTTTGCATTGGTGGAAGTCCTAAAATTGTATTTTGACCATGGAAAGATGCTATCTTTCTGGGGGAAACATCCTCACAGACATGGCAGTTCTCTCAAAGACCCTGGTCCCGGAAGATGCCTTATTTTTCAGCTCTACCCTGAAACCTAAGTGAGCTTTCAAGCACTGGTGGGCAATTTCTCAAGCCCTCTGTCATCCTGCCTTTCCTAGACTTCCTTGCAAGGGGGCTGACTGAGAAGTCTCACTTTCTTCTTTCCTAGGGTAATTTTCAAACCCAGCTAGGGCGTGTTTCAGCAGCACCCCATTTTCAACCTGATAGTTGCTCCCCTGCCCACAGCCTCTCTGAAATTTCAGCCCTCCCTGGCATCTCGCTGAATGCACGTGTATGTGTGGGCCAGAACCACTACCCTTAATCTCGCTCTCTTTTTTAAAGAAAACCTATACAAACCTTAACAGTCTGAAGTGCAGTGTCCAACACGGGTTATTGAGATGGGAGAAGAAACTGCCCTTGACTATCAACAGTTTATTAGGGGCTTAACTGAAGTGACCTACTGTAGTAGCATTCAGCTGAACAAGGCTATGGGCTTTCTGTGGAAAGGAGAAGAATTGAGGGTTTCATTAAAAAGTAATTTGTGCTTTTTACTCATTCATTCAACGGGAGTCTCAATTGCTCTTTATTCACACAGAGTTAATACAGTATTACAATGCTGCTCAATGAATGTGTGGTTACAAAAGAAAAATTTCACATTTTGAAAGGAAAAAAAAAAATCCTTGCAACTGTAGTAAGACTGATGACTACTTAAAAGATTACAGAAATCTTTTTCCGTCTATGCTTATGCTTAATGATGGAATATTAAGGATTTTTAAAATCTCTTCAGCCTAAACTAATAAATTTTGATTTATCACCTCACATGAAAAGATTTCTGCAAGTGAAATAACAGGAAACAGAGCAAACCACACAGGTACTATACAGGTGTTCCAGCTACTTTAACGACTCAGGAGAGGGCAAAAGATTAACTCTGAAAATATTATATAGTAAGAAGAGCAAACCAGTCCTCAGTTTTTACTCACATAAGCAATCCTGAGTCGTGTAAACTATACAACTGATGACAGTGCTCTCTGCACTAAGTATCACTCAGTTGAATAAAGGTGTAGGATCATGTTTTATACAATTTTTGCAAAGATGTTTTATTGACAATCACCAAGTAACTACTTTGAGTTATTCCTAAATATTGCTACTCCATGTTTAATCTGAAATAAATGTACATGCCCACAACTTACTAAAAGTAGCTATAAACTACTACAGTAGTTAATAAAAAATCCTTTTTCCTCCTTTCAAAATACATGTCCAAATATATATATTTCATGTCCAAAATAGATAATGAATGCACAGCCATTTTACAAAACATACCTGCCATATATATTGCTTTTCTTGGCAAAGAACAAAGGATGTGGGACACTGAAAGGTCCTGCGTGTTCTTCTCCATCTTCCTGACTAAATGCAATGTGTGAAAATTTTTGGTAGCTCTGTACATCTTTAATTCAATCAAACGTATTTCCAAAAAATTTCTTCAACAAGCACAAATGACATGTTGAGCTGGAAAAGTCGAAGACTGAACGAGGTCAGAGACTGAATTATCCCATTTGCCCCTGAATAACTTAATCTCTCTCTGTTCAGACCACATTGGATTATAAGGTCAAAGCAGAGTGAAGAATCTTTAGAAGCATTTCTCCAACCTCCCCGAAAATAGAATCCGCTATTTTGCATGCCACAAATGGGATGATCAGTTTCAGCAATAAAATGTTTGCTCTGTTACCTTGTCTGAGAAAAAAACCAAACACTGGTATTCATGCTAATTAAAAGCAAGTATGTCGCTATATGGCTACATCCGCTCCTGTAACAGAACATTTAGGTCCACACAGCAGCTAAACCAGATAGATCAGTATAGCGTCCTTCTTCTTTTTCTTTTTTTATAAGCAAGGATGGTTCCTTTCTGTCTCAGAAGCAGCTCATTTTGCTCCATTCAACCTGCACAGTGTGAAGGTGATTGTACTTACAGGAGAGAACTTAAGACATTTCTGGAGAAATATGGTCAGTATGGCTGAAACAAAAGGTTAACTTATCCATTCAACTTATATCACATAAAATAGAAAATAAAATTTAAAAAAAATCTTATTTCTCCTCTTAAACAGATAAGCAGCAATTACAGAAAACCGCTTGTAATTGAAATGTCTGAAACCAAGAGCAGCCTTGCTAAAAATCTCACATGTATCAAGCAGTCCTTGTGGCAACAACTTTAAATTAGCATCTAAGTCTAGCACCTTTCACTTGCCTTGTCCTTGGGAATTCAGCTTTAATTTGGATAATTTTCTATACTGTTATCTACTGGAAAAAGAAGTCTTTTCTATTACTTTTTCCAGAACCTCTGATGGAAAAAAATGCATATTTCACCCTTCTGATAAATAATCTAGGCAGGGCTCTGTTAGCATTAGAATGACCTGCTGCCTTGTTTATACAAGTTTGTTTGTTTGCCTGTGTATTCTTTCCTTAATAAGCAGAAGGTGAGACTGAGCAAACAGAAAGTAATCCTTAGATAAACTTCTGTTTCAAACATTAGTTTTCACTTCTAAAAAGGCTCAGCCTTCTACAGTAGTTACTATAACAGAAATAAAATGAATCCTTGCCTGTGACATCAGCTGCCATCAATGCTTCTGCCCTGATGACCTTCACCTGAAGAAATCCCACATCTGCTATGTCCCGGAACATTGCCATTAGACTCTAAAAAATAATAAAAAGAAAAATTATTCTGGGTTGCAAAAAAGACAAACAACACAGTTTTCATAGCCTCCTTCCTAACCGAGATATAAATTAGTGTAATTCGGTCTAATGTACTCACACTTTCAAATATCATTTTCTGAAGAACGTACAGTTTACAGTGTTTCTTTCAGTATTTTGCAAGTTTAGCTTACCAGTGAAAAAAACATACAAAGGAAAAATTAGAATACGAATGGTTAAATATAACACTAATTCTAATGAATTAATCCCCTAATAGTAGCCGAACAACTGTCCATCAAATTTTAAATGATAGGACTATATTAACAAAATTAATACAAAGAATAAAATGCTTCCTCTCCCTAAATACTTTTGTGAGATCTATGTTCACATTTTCCCTTTGATGGCTCCAACAATATTTTGAACAGTGGCATAGGGTCAATAATGTTTTTGTTGTAGTTGACCATTATAGGCAAGCTTGCATATACCTTGCAAATAGCAGAAGCAATAACAATCAAAAGAGGATTATAGTAACTTAATAATTTGTTACAATAATCACATGAAAAAGAGATCAAAAAATGAATTAAAAGATGATTCTAATTCCATAAAGAATTTACCATAATTATTATTTATTAACATAAATTTCTGCAATATCTAAGTTGATTAATAAGAAGAAAAAAACTAAAGAGTAGGCTAACACTTGCAACCACTGCATTCATCCAACACAGTTTTAGAAAGCTGCTCAGAAAGTGTGTTCTGTTTCTGCGCTTTTTTCACATAAATCTAAGTAACAAACTGGGAGTTTTGCACCGCTTAGGTGTGGCATACTAAAATTCTCAAGCTCTAACTTTGAATATCTTTTAGATGTTACAGAATTTGAAATAACAGAACTCAACTCTGAATCTGCAATCAAATAATAACAAACACAGCACTACCATTCAGTTTTTAGATAACCTAGGGGAGGAACTCCAAAAGAGGAGACTAAAATTGGATTTTTCGAATCAATTTTAAATAATATATATACACATATATGTGGTCTAATTTTAGGGGTTTTTTTGCAAGCCTTGTTCATAAATACTAGCACGTACCCTTATTTTGAAGTATTTTAAAATCTGGACTAATGCATTTAACGCCTGTGGCCTTTTCTAAAATTTTAACTTAGTGCAGGTGAAACATTTTCCACTGCTTAAGATGATGTTCAGATTTCTAGAAAATGCAAACATCAGGTAAAACACCAAGTCAACAATTCTTTAGTTTATTATGAAGGCAAAATTGACTGTTATGGAAAACCAGAATAAAAACATCGCTGGTCTGAAGACCACAGGTGCCACTTAAATGACATATTAAATGTGAGCTTGCAAAAACTACGGTATGTTTATGCACGGATAACCTATCCATTAAAATGTTAGACATGTATTATATGTCTTCTTACCAGCACGACAATTCTAGCAGTTCAATCACACTGTGATATTAATTTTGCAAGCCCCTACTGACCGTTTACTGTTTACAGTGACGGTTTGACCTTAGTATACTGAACTGAGGAATCCAGTGAAGTGGAGACCCCACACTCTACATTCTTGTGAATACATGCAGCCACGTATTATCACAGGATACTGGTTAATAAATTTTTAATAATTTTTAATACGTTAACAATCAGAAATATGGCTCAAAAATACTGACGGTCCACCATAATCAGAACACACTCAACCCCCTGCTTATGAGCTCACAGAGACGGTGTTATGGATAGCACTGTTACAATTCAAAACCATGTTGTCACCATTTATTACAATAAAGATCAAGGTTTGGAAGGTTCTTATCAGAGCTGGTACCGCAACAGAGATAGTTCTTCTCTAATACCATGCTGAAAGTGAAAGGATTTAGAAAAATGTTTCTACGTTTTACCCAAGTTTCCCAGTGACAGAAACAAACACAGAGCTGCAGAAAGAAAACAAAGCAAAAACCAAACACAGAGCAAACCAAGCCACTGCGCGCCCCCCCCGCCCCCCATGCTCTACAGTCCCCTTTTTACAAATTTCATCCTGGAAAGTGCATCCTGCAAAAAGGCACCAGGGCTGTGTTTCACTACACTAGCATCCCACAGAATAATTATTTTTGAACTTCTAGTTCCAGCCAGTCAGCTGGCTTAGATTCATTTACTGCACACGGTAGCTGCGGAGACTGCTGAAAATGTATACAATGCCATGGCAGAGAGTTCGGGAGAAGCAAATGACTTTAATACATTACTTTAAATACATAACTTTAAGTAATGATTTATCAGATGATATTCTGTCTTCTTATTTATGATTATTGTTGAAGGCCTCAAAACCCGTATGGTTTTTGAAGCCTGAAATTTCCATAGCAGAGGAATCTGTGATTTGCTGTGAATCTTTTCAGCCCTCAATAGATGGGAAGAGATTGAAATGCTCTGGAGATGAGTCCTCTTTATTTTTTTAATGAAAGGCTGTATAATATATTTTCTGTATGGCTGCAGCAGCTGTCAGGGAGAGCATCTCAGTTCAGCTCTATTATGGGAGAAGCATTACCCCATCCTATGGCATCGAGATACACTGAGGGGCCAGTACTGATTGACAGCTTGTCACCATGACGTCTTATTCCATCTCTGTTATGGAGAAAATTAATGTCACACCACCAGCCTTATGACTCGCTGTCATCTTAGAACTGCTCACCTTTTATCAATGCTCTAAATAACATTTCAAGCCCATCGTCTCACGGTGGACAATCTGGTCAAGGGACATTAAATCGGATGACTGTGAAATGTCATAATAAAAATGGAATGCTAACAACTTCTTCTCTAAACTAGCTCCTCTGTTTTTTAAACTGTGACAAGGGGGACCGCGGGTTCAGCACACCCGTTCTGAAAAGGTCATACAATCTCTCTTGGTCTGTACCCATTAACGCGCCCCCCTCCTCACCCCAAAAGGAATTAATCTTTTCAGACAATTGTGGTAAAATAATGGTTCAAACAGTAATGCCTGTTTAATTTGTAAGGCTCTGATGTTCAGCTACAAATGGTTAAATGACAGTAATAGAGTCATTTTCCAAGGCTATTTGATCTGATGGCAAGGTCAGCTCATTAACTGCTTTTGGCCGCAGAGAGGGTGCAAAATTCATTTCTCAAATGGAAGCCAGATTTTTTTATGAGGACAAAAAATAAACCCCAAAATATAGCAGCTCCATGGGGAACAGTAAAACTCGCTAATCGCATACCCTTTCTTTGTATAGGTTCTGAGGTAGAGATGTGAATACCGAAGGCAAACAGAACATCAGTGAAAATAAACAATTTGAATTTTGTTAATCCTCGTCACTTCTTTCTTCTGCTGTCCACCGGTCATTTTAATAAAACCAGTAAAATTTATTAAAAAAGTGTATCGATTCTGCAGTTTGCAAAAACAACTAATAGGAAATTCATGCCTCTGCAACATTAACACCTTCCAAAAATATAAAAGTTTCCAAATGCATACAGTAATGTAAACATAAGGAAAGACACATAACCATGAATATATAAGAAAGGGAAATAAATAGATCAATCTCACACCACATAATTATGCTTTACACTAGGGACAAAAAAATTGAGAACTTAGAAAAACCAATTAATAATACACAGTTGTAACCTATTTCTGTACTGCTACTAAATTATCAAAACCATCAGTATCACTTCACTGCCATATCATCCCACAGTAATCCACAGAAAAACGTATTGTTGCACTTGGAAGCAAGAAGCATGTCACCTCAAAAACGTGTCCATCATAAATTTATTATATTTATAAAGATCTATTCTGACAACCACAGACTGTCTTGGTGGATTCCAAAACGTCCAGTAGCTCTCTTAATTGTAATTATTTTTCAAAGATGGTGCACAATACCTTAGCTCTCAGTTGGTTTAGGAATATTATGTTTAGCCTCACTAAGTCACCTCTATTAAACTGTGTTTATGATAACACTATTGGTGTATGAGTTGTACAAGCATTAGCAGACAGCTGATTCAGTGGAGATAGCCAGAATAAATTTGCTGAAGCGCACATCCTGCTAATCTGTTTGAAGAATATTGTACAGCATTAGTACTAGCACTTCATGTTATCTGCACAGCCTGATAAGGTACATCTTTATTAAATTCAGTTATTGAAAGGATGTCACTCATGGAATAGGAATATTTTAAAATCTAAAAAAAAAAAAAAAATTAAGCGGCTCTTTGTTAGTCAGAGCTTGGTTTAATGGCTGAATGTCTAGAGAAGCCTCTCTAAACACCTGGCAGCATTGTACAATAAAAGCTTTGTAATTTTAAGTGGAAATAGCTTTTTTTTTTCTTCTTTCTCCGCGTGTAGTGAGACAGTTACTTTTACTGATTTACGTGTTGTCAAATGCTGGAGCAAGAGCTCCCCTCTCTGTTGCTTTGATAAAACTACACAGATTCTGTGTAATGTGAGGATGCTGGGAAATAGAAACAATTTCCTTCAAAATATTTTGAAATGGAAATACTGTTAAAAAAAACTATATCGATGATAAAAAATACTGATCCAGCTTCTAACACGCATACAGAAAAACACGTTTTCTTGCCCTTTAGTACACGCTCAAAAAAAAGCCAGGGACTATTGGCACTTCAAATTGGCATAAACACTCACTAGAAACTGTACAGCCACTGAGTGACTCCTTAGTTATTCTGTGCTTGGTAAAAAACACCTGCAAGGCATTAAAATTAACTTTTTAATGTCACGTGATCATACAAAATAGCTGAGTTACTATGCAAAAACGTTTACATCATCGTCACTGGCGGAGTTTGATAATGATATAAGGGATATATTCAGACTTTTCCCCCTGATACTTATTTATATATAGCAAACACTTTGCAAGGAAAGGGCAAAAGAGAAGAACTTCGTACATATCTCTTTAGTATCTCCTCTCGCTCCTTCTGGTCCTCCAGGGAGTTGGCAGAGAGCTCGGAGATAGAGACCGCAGTAGAGGCTGTGAGAGTGACCAGCAACATGAGGCGTCCCTCTCCCTCCTCCAGCGGCAACTCCAGCTTGTGGGTTTGTTCCTTACTCAGGGTTGACAGGTCAATCTGGCACCTAGAAACAAACATTCTCCATCACCATGTGGTTTCCTTCACATCAAACGAGAGCACACTGGCTTACTTGTGTTCTGCAGGACAAAAAGCCAAATCAGTAGAAATTCCTTCCCAGCTTCTGGAAGGATTTCTCTTCAGCTTCAACCCATGCTGCTTGCTTGAGTTTGGGGTTTTTTTAAAGCTACAACCTGTTATACACATGAACAATAAATATTAAAAAGAACGCAGAGACACTAGAAACAAGGTTAGCTAATACGCCCTACCCGCACGCAGTAAAAGAGAATTTAAAAACTCCAGCTTCAGACGCAAATTGCACTTTTTAATTATGTCCCTTCTGTGTAAGTTTTGATGTGAACGTTTTTGATACCATTCACCTAACAACAGCGAAAATCCTCTCTGAGGGGGGGAAAAAAAAAAAAAAAAAATCAGTGTGGACTTAATTGTGATGGAGTTAACTTGACTGAGACTAGAAAAAACGCGGCTTGAGTACCACCCAAACGGCTCAGCTCTCTCGCTGTAAGCTCTGCGTGGCTCAGGGTCAAAGCTTCGTGCAGGCACCCAGGATAAAATTTGATGCCACAACCCCCTATATAATAAGATGTCTCACGTTGTAACAAGCAGGGACTGCTTATAACTGTGCAGAGTGGCTGAAGCCAATCTACCCTGCTTGATCCCTTTCCGAACAACCCTGGCTGTACCGTACACTGAGCTAATGAAGAACGGCTCCACACGCGCCAGCCAGCAGAAATCACTTTGCAGCATCTTCAAAAATAAAAGGTAGGGCATGGAAGGAAAAACAGTATCACTAACAAAGAGCTGGCCGTAAGCCTTTAATTAAAACAAGAATACCTTGGGGTTAGTAATTAGTCTGTGCGCAGCTTAGAGGTTTTAACACTTTAATTTGTATAAATCACAAGTTTTGACTTTCCTAGATTGTAACCGTGAGCATGTCTAGAAATTCAGCACCTGTGTGGGATGTAATGCCAGCTTGCACTGCATGGGAGTCTCTGTGAAAAAGCACTATTTGGAACACTTGTTCATACAGCATCCCCCAGTAATGTTTTGCCAATTCATTAGTCTAAATAAAAACAAAAACAATATTGAAATAAAGTAAATTAATACATTCTATACATAGTTAAGCCACTGAACACTCTACTTTTAACAGCGATTATTTAATGTGACAAGCACATGTTCTATATGCCACTCTCACTAAACTAAACATCTAGCAAACTCTTTTCATAAAATGTCAATTGATTTTGAAGAGAAAGATAATGTGGTGACCGCAGGGCCAATAAACTGAGAAAAAGGTGGCAGACATGAATAAATAGGCATTTAAGGACAGGAAATAGCCAGTTATGAGAATAAATGCGGCCTCATAAAATGGGCACTGTGCTATCACAGGCAGATTAGATCTGCTACAGGAAAATGTCTTTTTAATTTCCTTTTCTTTTTTTTGTAACATTTACTGTCTGTTGTGCAGCTGTCAAAATTAAACTACTGCAAAACTCATACAGTAATAAGGTTCAATTATTTTTCAATTAAAAAAAAATCTAACTAACACAGCATTCCGAGCTTAATTTTTAACTTTTATTTGGAACTCTTTGGATGATAAGGAGCGAGAAACGAAATTAACAACAGTAAGAAAAGACTAAATCCGTTGCTGTCAGTGCAGCCTGATGGACAATACAAGTTTCGTACATGTACACAGGGTGTCAATTTTTTATTCAGGCTGTAATAAGGAGCATAGAGCCCACCTCCAGACACCACACATTGTAATGAAACGTTCCAAGCTGGAGTAGGCCAAGATGCCCTTGGTGTTAAATATTCTTTGATAGTTTATTTCAACACAGATACTCATAAAAAATATGTCTCTGCATCAACACTGCAACTTCAACCAATAATCATGGAAAGAACAAATCTCAAATCTGTTAAAGTCAGTAAAATACTCAGAAAGTCACTATGATACAAGTAATGCAGCCATAATCGACCCTCACTTAAAAACAGGCAAAAAAAGCTACTCACACTGGAACAAAAAAAAAAAACCGCCTACATGCATCAGAAAACTGCAAAGACTGTAAAATTACAAGTTTTATATCAGAGCTACAAGCTCCAATCCTTCAAGTTACAGCACTTTTGCAACATCAGTAGCCCATGCTATTTTTTTCTTTAGGCTAAAAGAAACAACCGAGAATTTAATTTCACCCATGCAACTTTCCTACAGCTACAAAATATTCCTAACACCACCACATCTAGAAGAGATTACCTGGGAAATATGTCTCTATTGTCTGCCTGATAGATTTCTATGGACAGCCCGTCAACGGCTTGTTACCTCCTAAAATCATTCTAAGGGTGGGGAGTGATCTGGAAGCTTTTTCCAGTTAAAGCCTTAATCATTTTACAGGAAAAACATCCTCTGAAGGACCCTCAGATAATTTGATAAAAAACCAGGGTTATTCCATTACGGAGCGTCACCATTAGGCTTTGTGGAAATCTAGGTTACAAGTGCCACCACGCGTACACGGCCAGGTGAAAGCACATTCCTCATTCCGCACCAGGTTCCCTACTCTGTCCTCTGCATCCTTGACAAGATGCAGCTCCCACGTGTCCTAAGTCGAAGATGCCAAGGTGAGAGGAGCACTCAGCATGAGGCGAGCACTCCGGTGGCACATGCACCTCAGCTGAAAGATGAGACTTTCCAATTTACAGACACCGTAAGAGAAACTGCAATTTTAATCACAGAGTTTTTCATGTGGAAAAAAAATCCCAAAACCTTTGCTGGCTCTCATACCAAATTTTCCTGAAAAGAAAAAAAATTAACCATTTTCTTCTAGATCTACGTTGCACGAGACCAGAACAGAAGAGGCAGCCTGGTTTGATTGAGGCATTACCTAAGCACTAACTTTATCCTAGTATAAGCTTTACAGACATCAGTAGGAAACCCACAAAAGTCCTTTTTGGATTAGATTTCCTTACAAGCACTGAAGTTAACAAAATACTTCTGAAGACAAGTAGCTTTGGCAAGTTCAAGTTGACAAAGCCCCTTCACCTTTTACTGAGAGTATATACAAGTATTCCAAGCTTTAAAGCTTTAGCAATGCTTTCACATCAGCGAAGATGTTCTCTTAAAAGACATTTGTCACCTACAACAGTTTCCATGGAGAACAAAGATGCTTTGAGGATGAAGGCAAATTTGAATGTTTCCAGAAAGTGGTGCAGAATGAGCTCTGTGGTGGTAGAAATTTTTGTCTTGCATTCTCAAACTGAGGACCATGAAAAATAACAGCCATTTTGAGAAGGCCGCAAGTTGCATATGAATGGCGATTGTCACATCAAAAGCAGGAGATAAGAGTAATTTTGGACAATTCAGTTTCTTATGGAATTACTATTTACATGCTGCAGCTGAAAGAAAAATTTCCTCACATGGGAAGAGGTCAGCCTGAAGAATTATGGCAAAAAAAAGCTATTAACTCCATAGACAGGTTTTCAAGCACGGCTATAAGCCACATTTCAGGGAATTTTAGGTTTTAGGGCAGTGTGAGTATTCTGCATTACTCTTCTGCTCCATGCTGTATGGTCCCTTCAGTACACGGCAGTGTCAGCACTCGGAGTGGCGAGCAGGGGCACTGGGACAATCCCCTCGGGACGAGGCATGGAGGCACGTCTCCTCAGACCAGCCCCGCACGCAAATATTAATGGGCACGTACTGGATCTGGATTTTCAGGCCTTGAGAGACCAGAAGGGAGAAAAACCACCCAAGTGCCCCAAGCTCATGTGCCAAAGCACCACAGGTAAGTCTCTGCAGAAAGAGGGTACCGCTCCCACGGAGGAAGATTTGAAGATTCAAGGGGAATCCACCACTTCTCTGCAACTGTGTTGAGTGTGTTAATCACCAAACCGTTAGAAACACATTTCTGATTTATTTTTAATTTGAATATATCTGGTCTTTGGTTCTTTTTTATGCCTTTCTTTACTCGTCTGAAAAAGCCTTTAGTGCCCTGCATTTTCTTCTAGTGAAGTTGAATTATACCATAATCACATTTCTTCTTGATCTTCCTTTTGATACACTAAGCACCTTCAGCTCCCTATACATTGCCTTGGAACACATCCCCTACAGCTCTAAAATGACTTTTTGTAACTTTTCTGATCCAGTGAAATTCTCCTGCATCCTTTTTAAAGCATGGAAGCCAGGACTATATGTAGTATTTTATTATCAGCATGTCTAAGAGGTAAAAATCACCTCCCCTCTCTAGTTCTAACAGAACCTGGAATGTAAGACCATGCTGGCACCCTGGTGAAATATCCGTGCTAATGAATGAATTACAAAGGTAACGACATGACACAGAAGGCCTCTTAAAAGTCAGGTGGCCAGGCAAGGGAGAGACAGCAGATAGCAAGATCATTTTCTCACATGACAAAATAAAGCATAAAAGAGGAATTGGCACAATCCTAAGTGATAGGGACAGAAAAGCACCACTTGGCTACAACCCAGGCAACTTAATTATCATCATGACTTGTTCAGGAAGACAGACTTTTAACTCCACTGTGATCCAGGTCTATGCTGCTCCAAAGGATGCCAAGCAGAGGAAACTGTGCAATTCTGCAATTAGAACTGAGCTGGACACACATCAGAAGCAGCGAGGCATGAACTGCTACAATTTGTGAGACTCCGTATCCTTTATGAGCAGAGTACAATGTTCCACTAAAACCAAGAAACAAACGGAGAGGGAGAATTCAGCAAAGCGCCGACAGAAAATGACACGGCTCAGAAAGACAGGACTGCAGTAACGTGAAGTTCTTGGAAGAACCAGAACACAGCATTTTTAAGAGCAAAGATAATGAGAAAGAAATAAAACGAGGGACCCCACATGATGCTTGTGATAGGTGGTGGGTAAAGATGATAAAGTAAAAAAACAGGAAAGCTCCCGAAGGAGTTGGAGACGGCAGCTCCACTAAGTAGGATGCTGACAGAGGGGAGTGTGGTGGAGAGCCCAGGGAGCTGCA